CCGGAAGACGAGTAAATTTAGCAAAAACTACAATATTGACAGTTCGGTACCACTTTTTGAAAGCAAATATTATTTTTTACAAATCTGATATTATCCAAAAGATGCGCACTGTTAAGGTGCACAAAATCTCGGACTCAGTTTTTTTAATTTCGATTTCGTTTTCGGGCCATTTCGATTAAAAGGTAAAAAAAGGGGTAAAAATAAGCTATTTACAACCCATCCAGCGCCTTCATATATTAAAATATTTCTTTGATACGTTCATAAACTTGTAGAAATAACCCATACGAAGAGAATGTATGTGAAAAATAGTTTGTAATATGAGCAGTTGCCGAGAAATGGGCAATTTTGCATGAGTCACTTTTTACGCTAGTTTGCCTGTAAAAGAGTCAATCATTACTGGATTTTCATAAAAGTTACACCATTTGGTGCGTAATGTCAATTTTAACTAGGTCAAACCAATTCAACATTACCAATATCACCGGAAATTACGTAATTTGGGCAAAAACCGTATTTATAGCCTTCGAAACAAATAATTTATTCAAATGAGTTGTATTTGTTATTCGTTTAAAATTTTGATATTTGATTCTAATGAACTAATAGAATGAACCCATACGATCATATAGATATCACAAATTCCTTTCTAACTTGGTCAATTGCGGAGAAATAGACGATTTTGAACAGGTCACTTTTCAAGGTTTTTGGACCATACAGCTGTCAATTATTATTCGATTTTCATAAAATTTTCACTGTTTGATACCTTTTACCAATTATGATTTCATACAAGTAATTTCAGATTTTCATTATCACCGGAAGTAACGTCAATTTGGCAAAAACTGTATTTGTAGCCTTCAAAACAGATATTTTGGTCAAATGAGTCTGATTTGTAATGTTTTTACAATTATGATTTTTGATTCCGCTCAACAAATATATTGAACACATATGATCATACATATACCGCAAAATGGTTTCTAACTTGTACGGTTGTAGAGAAATAGACGATTTTCTACAAGTCACTTTTCAAGGTTTTGGGTCTTTGCCATTTCTGATTTTAAAAAAACTAATTTATCTTTATCATTATCACTGCATATAATGTAATTTCGTCAGGATCACTAAATGTATAAAATGAATTGATTACCAAAAGATGTTGGTTCCTGTGGTAATTAGCTCATATCAGATTGTTACTTCCTGAATTATATTATTGTATGAAAAAACTTTCTTGTTTAACTTTCTTCTCTATCCATCTCTTGCAAATTGTGTTTGTTTTTCTTTCCTCCAATTTAAATGGCTGATATTTACCATATTTGTTGGAAAGATTTATAAAAACCTTCAGAACCATTTGTAGGCTATGGTCTGGTATCTTAAAGTTATTATCTGATGGTGCCAGAGACAAGGCACATAGCCACGGTTCTTTAGATTTTTGATTTTCCACGAATCGTCGGAGATATTAGGCGCCAAATTTTGAAAATTTAAATTTTTACAAAAAACTTTTTTATTCATGAATATTTTAATGTGGTATTTTACCCAGGGTTAAAGAGTCATCTGATTTGACCAAAAATGGCACCATTTTTTGTCATCGTAAATTTCCTTGACCCCCATTGGCTAATTCAGTTTTTCAGTCCTGGATTAATTATTTATTGCTCGATTTGTATAAAACAAAGTTCATATGCTCCGTAATCCAAAATGTCATTTTTTTTGTTACCGGTAAAGTTACCTTTCGGCAACGGAAGTGACGTAAATTTAGCAAAAACTACAATTTTGACAGTTCGGTACCACTTTTTGAAAGCAAATATTATTTTTTTCAAATCTGGTATGACTGAAAGTGTGTGCCCTGTAAAGGCGCAGAAAACATCGGGCTCAGTTTTTTTAATTTCGATTTCGTTTTCGGGTCATTTTGATTTTAAAGGTGAAAAAAGGTGAAAAAATGAGCTATTTACAACCCATTCAGGCTTTTCATATTTTAAAATATTTCTTCGCAACTTTCATAAACTTGTAGCATTAATCCATACGAAGAGAATCTATCTCAAAATTAGTTTGTAATATGAGCAGTTGCCGAGAAATGGTCAATTTTGCATGAGTCACTCTTTACGCTATTGTGTCTGTAAAAGAGTCAATTATTATTGGATTTTCATAAAAGTGACACCATTTGATGCATAATGTCAATTGTGACTAGTTCAACTCAATTTAACATTTTCCATGTCACCGGAAATGACGAAATTTGGGTAAAAACTGTATTTATAGCCTTAGAAACAAATAATTTATTGAAATGAGTCGTATTTGTTGTTTGTTTAATATTTTGATATTTGATTCTAATGAACTAATAGAATGAACCCATACGATCATATAGGTATCACAAAATGGTTTCTAACTTGTTCAGTTGTAGAGAAATAGGTAATTTTCAACAGGTCACTTTTCAAGGTTTTTTGTCCATAAAAGTGTCAGTTATTATTCGATTTTCATGAAATTTTCACTATGTGATACCTAATGCTATTTACGATTTCATACAAGTAATTTAAGATTTTCATTATCACCGGAAGTAACGTCATTTTGGCAAAAACTGTATTTTTAGCTTTCAAAACAGATATTTTATTCAAATGAGTCTGAGTTGTTATGTTTTTAAAATTATGATATTTGATTCCAATCAACAAATAGAATAAACCCATACGATCATACAGATTCCAGAAAATGGTTTCTAACTTGTATGGTTGCAGAGGAATTGACGGTTTTCTACAAGTCACATTTTAAGGTTTTTGGTCTATAAAAGTGGCAATTATTATTCGATTTACATAAAATTTTCACCATGTGATGCCTTATGCCATTTCTGATTTCATAAAACTAATGGAATATTTTCATTATCACCGGAAGTACTGTACACTTACATGTAACAAATATATAAAATGAATTGATATTGCTGGATTTGGTTGATTCGGCGTCCATTTTATTTGATGTGTGCAATGATGAGGTGGAAACCTGTTTAATGGTTTCATTGGTACCGGAAGTGACATATGTTTAGGGTAACGTGGCACCGGTGAAACCCGTCATTACTGCATCGCAGTTCTAGTTATGATTATGTTTGTGCGTTCATTTATCATTTTTATGACATTCATTTGCGTGACGATTTTTTCCGCGTACGGTGTTCCCACGTAGTGTGTGTCGTTATTAATAGAATATACTGATCTAGGACTAATCGCGTAATGTGACCAATGACTCTTGTACTTTTGTGAATCTTTTTTAGTTTCGATGTTGTGTTACATGTTGTATATAACTTTTACGAAATATGTCCGCCATGACAATATATTTACCCCGGCGTTACTCCGTGGACTACTGAACATTTTTTTTTTTACCACAGACAATAATTCCATCTGCTTTTGGATGCTTCAATTATTGTATAATGCTTTAATCTTTTATTGTTTTAAAATCGTTTCATAAATTATTTTATATCTTCCACTATTTTAAAATTGTGGTTAAGGGAGGAATGTAATACAATATCATTTGGGATCTAAATTTTAATATTGTATTCTGAATTCATATTTTATTTGTAACACATTTTGGACATATATTAAGTGACAGATTAATTGTAAGATTCAATCTATATCAGGTGTGGGGTGTTGACTATTATGTAAGATGTAATGGGTTTGTCAAACATGTATACTCGGAGTGTCTATATGATATAAGATTTAGGCTTAACACGTATTGACACCTTTTGTCTTGAGCTAAGATGTGTGAATCTTAATAATTAATTTTCATTGTTCTGATTACTAATGCTATTAACTATGGCGTGCCTATCTGACGCGACAGATATTGGAGACGAAGGCAGACCTGGAGAGAGACCTTTAGAGACCTAGAGGGAATTCGGCCCGGACGTTACTATACCCAACCAAATGATGTTCATATGTACCTGTAAATATGTTATCCAGTATTAAAATATCTTTTTAATTAATGAGGTTATGATATATTACATACTCTTAATTAAGTGGTACCGTGATCGACGCACCTAAGGTTGTGGTTATATCACACCTTGTCTAGATTCGATAATAATAAACATTTTCTGCTCAGGTTAAGCAGAGAGATAAGCAAATTGGTTGTCAGATGATGTATAAAAATAAATGCACGAGTGAGAATTGAAGCGGGGCACACCCGCCTCTAGTGGTCAGATTCATATACAAAATCCGCTGCGCATTTTTTCAGTCTAATTGCCTTAATATTTAATTGTCGCGTAACATGTCCTTTTGCCTTTTAAAATTAGTACTCATTTTTCATACTCTTCATTTAACAGTTAACTGTGTGTTATTGTTTTTTTTTATTTTAAAACTATTAAGAGGCGAAGTTTCTGCGTTTAAAATTACGATAATAACACATGTTTACGTTTCACACACATCTTTTATGGCGTATTAAAACGACCCTCAATTTAAATAATGCGTAGTGTGAATCCTGTAATATGAATATGAGGTCCTTGGGCAATAAATGAATAATGTAAACAAGTACTAACAACCTCGAATACACAAAAAAACAAAATAAAAACACTAATTGTTGACGGATTATGGTGCCTTTGGAAGGTTCTGGATACTGCATTTGCTTGCAAGGTATAAACTATAAGGCCCTTTTCATTTTCTTTGGAACGCCAAGAAAAGCCCTGTTGTTGGGTTGAACGAAATTGTCGCCATCAAACTGCGCTTGATTAACAAATGTTTTAACTTGAAACGAATCAGAATATGCAACATATATACGTGCTGCATTTTCTGGCAATATGGTCACATATTTCTTATAAGAATATTCAAAGACCAATATAGACCTATATTACATTCTACTGTGAATATCATGAACGTACAAGAATTGTTCAGCTTATCATAAGACACGACTCATTAAATCCAAGAGTCACTATGTAATCAACATCTATTGTACAACCAAGAGGGATTTAGCCGCCCATGGACGACTGTTTCGTTGCATGGATAGCTATATAATATGAGATAAATTGATGACGACGGTTTGTTTTATGTTTTCAGGCAGGTTATGTTGTGATGATGGTTGTGGAACAATTTGTCAAAATACTACAATATCCCAGGCACAATCCCCGGCGACCGCAGCTCCAACCTTAGTCCCAACAACAACCGGTACGTCAACATATATTGTTAATATTAAGCACATTTCGGTGCGTAGATCGTATTCACATATCCCGTACTAACGAATCAACGAAGCGTAGTTTCATTTTTCCTGTTATCTTTATCACAATCTCACGAACTTGTTCAGGAATTTTCAGCATCCCCTTTTCGGGTAATTTGTTTGGACAATGAAAGGCATCCAGATTGGCTTAGACTTTTGAATCATTAGTACTTTGTTATAATATGATTCGACGCGGTTCTGGTGACACGGTTAGATTGGAAATCTGTGGCCCCCGTGTTCGCTTGTTAGTGCACCAAGAAAGCCACTATTTTAGCGAAAATTCTTTTGTAGATAGATACGACCATATTTCAGTCTCTGATATATCCAAGCCTTTCTTTCCCCCTTAACCTAGCAACAATTAATGTAAGTATTATTACTCTCAACTTTTCTTTATATTAAACCAGGTGTGTGTCCTATACCACATGGATTGGGTACACTTTGTTTATTTATAACAGCTAAAGGAACGTGTTTTGAAAATACTGATTGTGATCCAGGTAATTTGGGTTTTTTTTGGTTTTTTGCTGCTTTTTTTTATCATATGGCGTGTACAATCTGAATACGATCTGAATATTTGGTCAATATCGCTGCTTTTATCCAAATAGACCGAATATATTTTATATGATTAAAACATTTTAAACAAATTCCTAAAAGTCCGACATGGAGTAGTGACGGTGCAAACACTGTTTAACTTCTCGATCTGAAAGTCGGGTAAGGTTGTCCACACCAAACGCTGCAAAATCACACTTTCTTGATTTTTGAAAATTTGATACTAAAAAACCAATAATTTATTGATAATTATTATAGGTCAGCTGTGCTGTAATGAAGGATGTGGCAAAGTTTGCAAAACACCCATTCCCACAGCAAGCTCAACACCACTCCCCGAACCACCTATACCTCGACCCGTTACGATACACAAAGGTAATGTATTGAATCTGTTCAGACAAACCTAGAAATGTTATCGATTCTGCGTTTGGGTATTCTGACCAAAATACATATTTGCTCTTATATAGATATAAACCCTTGTTTAAATTTAAATAAAAGAGTTTGTGGTAATCGAGCAGTGAGGTAAGTTGACCAAGAAGAACGTTCGTAATATTTCAAATTTACCTTTGATACTTTTAAATAACCCTCGTCCGTTAGAATTCAACGAAGAAGTATCCGGGAAAAATTCTCCTACCTCGAGTTAGTCTCGTACCATCGAAATATAATTCCATCACCATATGTATATCTCAAAATTATCTAAGTATATATTTTGTGTGACGAGGCATTAAACTCTGCAAATTTCACCCTCTATAATTCTCATTAGTAAATCACACACATTTAAAATGTTGAAATTTGTCATACTCTATATGCTAGTACACTAAGGGAAAGGCGACAGGTTACAGTTAACATTCACTTCACAAAATTTGAAGCGAATGTTTGTTACACGTTTAACCAGAGACAGAGAACTGTATAATTACCAACGAGCCTGTCGCCTAAGACAATAATATCATGAATAGAAGACTTCCGTGCATTTACAGACAGAATCATCGTCCAAACGTTACATGTTAATAAACCAGTAATAATGCTTATTAATTTTCATAATTAGTTTTAATGTGCTTTTAAATACATTTAATTACATTAAGGTTTTGATGAATTTTCAGGTAAATGTCCGTATGTTAATATGTATGTAACCTGTAAAAGACCGTTGGCCTATAGCTGTTTCAGCAGTAACCACTGTGGTGCTAATTATAAATGTTGTAGAGATCCCTGCGCTTATAGATGTAAACGGGTTCATATAACAAAATCAGGTAAATAAGAATATTTGCTATTAATTTACATTCTTTTTTTTTATTTTGATGAATATAGAAAATAAATACCAGAAAACAACTCGTGTTCTTGGCCTCCAAAATAGCCCAAACATATGATCTGCAAGTTTCCAGTTATTTGCTCTTGTTTGAATGTATGCTGACGACCGAAACTGACATAGCTCCAAATTTTATAATAATTATTGAATAAATTAGTTTTCTACAATAGTTCGTAGTTCAGGATGTTATTGGGTGTTATTCGAGGGTTACTTGGTCGCTAATCGGTGTTTTTGGATACTTTCACCTGACCGTCCAAAATGTTTTTCACCGATATTCCCTCGTATAATGTGTTACATTATTTCAAACACTCACAGATAATCAACGAGCCTATTGTTCTTACAAACCATTTTTAAAATAAATTATTTTCAAAATATATCACATAAAACACTAACATGACGGATAAAAACGGTTTTATGCCTACTTTAATGTTTATTCTCATCGAGTAATACCATTTATTGTAGTTTATTGCTTTGTTATAATTTTTCCCTTGGTAACGTCTACAAATAGTATCAATAGTTGCGGTTATCAGGTCGGTCACTCATAGAAATACAAGTCACTCGCTCTGAATGGGTTACGTAACGTCTCTAAACTGTTTGATGACCATTTCCATATGGATTTATATTTTGCGCTAAAGATATTGGCGTTTTCTGAAACTGCACGAAAACGGCTATTTTTCCTTTCAGTGCTTATGCATCTAGTGTTGATTTAATATATTTTTTAACGCCTTTCAATAGGAACGTGCCCTCTACCACCATCTGGTATATGGAATAAATGTAGAGTTGTAAATAAATGTACAGATGATGGAGATTGTCGTGGTACTGCTAAATGCTGTAATCATCCATGTGGTAAACAATGTATATGGGCTGTTACTGCTAAACCAGGTAGGAATAACACACTATAAAACGTTCTAAAATATTGTACCATAATCATGCGATATATAGCAGTGGTACAGGGCCGTATGTAGGATTTTAAAAGTGGGGGTGCAGCAGAGTGGAGGGGCGCCATAGCCTCCACGTATGTGATATAAGAAAGTTTCGAGCATCACTGTGTGATCATAATCAAGTTCATTATTTTATAATTGAAAGATTGTCAAATAATTTTTTATTTTTATTGGATGGGGTGAGGCGCAATTTCTCGGGGCGCCATATTTTTCTGGGGGTGCAATGTACCCGCTGCACACCCGCTAAATACGGCCCTGCAATTGAACCCCATTTCTTTTTAAATTTGACGATTATGCGCGCATCGTCTGGAATAGCACAACTATTGCCTTTGATATGTTGTAGAAACCCTTATGGACTTTGGTTTGGATTTTGTTTTATAATTTTCTACTTTGAATTTCCTCTTCTTGGTTACAACCAACCCGGCAATTAATTCCCCAACTGTTTTCGCTTTTATTAGGTCACTGTGAAGCACCACCAAGCCCTTCGGCTGTGTACTGTATTACAAAAAATGATAAGTGTCATAAAGATGGCGATTGTCCAGGTTTACAAAAATGTTGTAATCACCCTTGTGGTAACCAGTGTCGAAACACAGCTGCCCCACCCAAACCAGGTATATATTTTTATTTTTTTATTACAGTCTGGCTTTCGAAATGAATTATGTAAACGATTTGATTGTGAGGATTGTGAATGTCATACACACACAATGCCACGTTCAAAATATGCCATGTTTACGGTAATTTCAAGTTACTGATTGGAAAAAATAACATATGAAAACATATAAAATGATTTCCTGTGGTTACGGGGTGATCATCAAGTCTGTAAAGGACTGATGGGAGAGGCGGGGGTGGAGGCGAATATTAGAGAGCATGGCCGGTATGTTACTCTAACCCTAAAAGAATTTCCAAATATAACGCAATAATTTGTTTTGGAACAATTTAAAAGGGTATTGACACATATTGGAACCTTGAATAAATTTTGATATTGACTTTAAACTGCACAGCACAATGAAAATAACAAGTTCTTAACGTATCAATCAGATTTCAAAATATTACATCTTTATCGGGAGTACATTTGGCATCTTCATAGCTGATAAAAAAAAATTACCTTGATTAACCAGGCGCGTGGTGTGATATACAAGGATAAATTGGTCCGGGAAAATTGGCTTCAATCCGAATAAGGATGAAAACCTACGAATGCTTTTGGAATTTACAGCTTAATCAGCCCTTGTACTGAAGTCATTTTGTACGGTTAAACACGACTGTAATAGCTGACAATATCCCTTTATAGGCAATCTGATTAAAACACAGATCCTATTTCGTTTCGTTTTTATAGTTCAAAATTTCTTTTTACTTGTCTTTACTACACTAGGATCTGGAAGAGTTGTTATCATTGACGTGTTCTGAATAGTTAGAGGTATTAGCCAATGAAACGGTCTGTTACGGCGAGCTTTAGGAGTGTTTTGCACGGAACTGTGGGTAATCCATTAGTAACACTAATGCTGATTGGTTAATCAAATGTCTGACGTCATTTGCTCACTTGCTGCTCGTATGACCTCTGACGTGATTTATCGCAACAACCGGTCAGATCTTCATGTAGTATAGGCCATCGAAAGTATAAAAAACGAAACGAAATATAGATCTGTATTTTAACAGTTACACAACTGGGGGATAATTCAGCTTTATAGGTCTCTTTTATTTCTAGGTATTTGTCCACAAGTATCGAGAGAATTTCGATGTGTTAGGTGGCAAAATGACTGTCGATCAGATAAAGATTGTCCTGGTAAAAGCAAATGCTGTTCAACGGCTTGTGGTGTTAGCTGTGTTCACCCAACCCATTACCTATATTCTGGTTAAACTGCTGTGAAACTTCGCTTCTAGATTTTTGGGCTTCTAATTTTATTTTTATACGAAAACGAAAAACTATGGTTTTGTTTTTTACATTTATAATTAATTTAATTTATTTGCAGATTATCCAATGTAAGCGATGGGGTAATATAAAGTGCATTCATATTGTTAATTGGCAATAAAGATTACATGAAATCCACTGTATGTTTTCTAAACACAAAATAGTGATATTTTGTTACCTGTATTGTTTGTCATAATATTTGTTACCTGTATTGTTTGTCATAATATTTGTTACCTGTATTGTTTGTCTTAATATTTGTCATTGGGACTGTGTATAGTATATGCTTCTTTATATCGAAAACATCTTGCATGTGGACATTAAATATCCCCTTCAACTGATACACATAACACTGCACCTATCACAGATGATACCGTTCCAGCAAATGCATTCTAACATCCCTATAGATTCTGAAGTATTTCATTATGTACCCTATAGCGTCACTTGCAGCTTATTCGGATTCAATTTATTCCACCCGAGAGAGAGAGAGAGAGAGAGAGAGAGAGAGGGTTTAACGTCCACTCGACACAAACTAGGTCATTTCGGGACTAACATATGGTTTAACTTTATTTCAATAATTTGCTTGCGCGTAGGGGTCTTTAGCAGTGGGAGGAAACCAGAGGACCCGAAGAAAACGCACGAGGTTGGACATTCGACCCTACTCCTTGTCACGTACAACCGGGGATTCGAAACCACGCCAGTTGACTCAATGACAGGCTTTATGATACAGCACGCACGTGCTAACCATTCGCCCCCCCCCCCCCCCCCGATATCAAAGACCTCTGCTGCTACTTTTTAAGTTTAGTACAGACTTAGTCTAGTAAGGACTTTTATAATTATCTAACAAATTAAACCAACAGCTTAACTCCAGAGTCTGTTTGGACCTATACATAAAATTTCCACCTGACCCGCTTCTTCATATGGACACAGCAGACATAACTACCAAATCTGTTATTATTTACAGTGTAAACAAAACATAAACAAGTTTTTCGGTTTTGGCGATCACAAATTATATAGAAATTGTATTTTGCCAGTTAAACCCCCATGGGTGAATTTGTGGTCCCCTAATCAATGAAGTTGAGTGCCGTGTGCAAAATAAGACTAACACTGCCGTCTGTAGTGTTATATAATCCTTATTGATATGACTCACCTATTTTCGATAAGTGGACCATAAATGTCCTTTGCATAACACTCACATAAACTATATACTTGTAAACAGTTTGGTTGTAGTGTTTTTAGATTATCCAAACACGTATGTACTTAAATGAAATAATGGCCATTTCGTTATTATCTTCCCTTAGTAACGAAGGGAAAGGGAGATGAACTTCTCGTCAAAACGGTTTTTCTAGTCAAGAATCCAGGTATCTAACTACTTGACTACCAACCAACTAAACATTAGGTCACATTTTATTAATCATATGTACTGCTGAACGAAGATCTAATCAAAAATAATAACACGGGTTGCCAACCTAATGACATTAACCTGAAGGGCGTTGTCGTAAATTGTTAAATTTACCAATCGAGATTTATCATGTCATGATAAATCCTCCAGCTCAATTTCGATATCAACGTCATGGTTTAGAGATGGAAGGTTACCCGGACAATGTGGTTTGTTACGGTGATATGTACGGCGGGTAGTTACATGTTTATAATAACCTACTTTAAGTTTTTGTATCTGAAGATTTCAGAGGTCAAACTAATACAAACTTTGATACAAAGACATTTCCATTGCTGTCCCTGTATGCCGAGGAAATTTAGGGGGCACAGAGACAAGAATTAACATTAAATTCAATGGCGAATCTAATGGTGGTCTGCATCCTTATTGTCAGGAATAAGACTAGCAATCCCTTCCCCTGATCTCAGAATGCAGTGTGTTGATTTCTAGCAATTTTCTCTTTTTACTACCCCTCTCCTTTTGCATGTCAGTTTCTGCCAGGCGTTTGTAGACATTCATGGTTTTAAGGCGGAACGATCATGAAGTAAACATGAATTAGGCTGATCGTCTACCAAAATGATCATTTTCCACCTTCAATATTCTATTCAAATATAGTATGTTGGGCTCGTTGTGGTTATAAAGATTAAGATCATCGGAATGTTATAGCTCAAGAACATGGATTTAACACTGAAGTTAATGGGGGGGGGGGAATTTCTAGTCCGTCTGAGAACTCAAAAACCTCCGGCCAAAAAATGTTGACCGACTGTACAATCATTGTTGGATTAATAAAACATGTGAAGGTCAATTACTCTACGAACGCATGGCACTGCTTCCAGTAATCATCCCATTAATGTTCCCCTCTGTGTTGCGGAAACCATTGTAAAATAATCTTAAAAATGCACAATAAACTAAATGATAAGTAGCAATGCAGAATTAGAAAAATACCATTACTATAAATGAAAGAGTTACCCAATAATGTCACCTGTATCTGAAAAAAAAACCACTTATGAAAATCGGCAAATAAATGAACTCTAAAGCGTACATACAGTATCATGCAAGTGCCAAAACTCTGCAGATGTGATCATATAGAAAAACCACATTTTGACACAAATAACATTGGAATTAAACATGTAATGAACATTCTACCCCAATTAAAAGCCTTGCCTAGAGTCTTGCCTAATTAAAGGACAATATTGGTGCCAGTCATTATCACATATGTGTTAGAACTGGTTAAACACGTTCCAAATATAATTTTAACACAGAGATCATTGCTGCTATAGATGAGTAATCAATGTTTCAACAATAGGAAGTGACGAAAGCAAAAGGAAAACACGAGTTATCCCTTTATATAACTGACTGAAGTGACGAGTGATAACAGATACATGGGCGAATTTCTGCTCTCTAATAATTCCTTCGAAGACCAAAAGTTGTTGTATGGGACTGTGTAATGTCTGACAATTCATAAACAAAATTGACTGTCACTAGATGAACATGAAAGAAAAATAGAAAAAGTCCGTGCATTACCATGTTTTTATAAGTATAGAATGAATAAACACCCGTGAATGTAAGGACTGTTTCTATTTGTCTCGTGTTCTCTTATCTAATGACATTCAATTACTTTTTTGAATTATCAGATATACTCTTACAGTCTCATATAACAACTTTTGGTCTTCGAAGGAATTTTTAGTGAGCAGAAATTCGCCCACGTATCTGTTATCACCCGTCACTTCAGCCAGTTATATAGGGGGATTACGTCGTTTTTTCGTTTGGGGTTCGTCACTTCCTATTGTTGAAACATTGATTAATCATCTATCGTAAGAATGATCTCTGTGATAAAATAATATTTGGAACGTGTTTGAACAGTTCTATCACATATGTGATAATGACTGGCACCAATATTGCCCTTTAAATTGCTTGGCCTAAGCAGAAAATGAGCACAATGGAACTGAGTCAAGCCATTCACCTAATGAACTATACACCAAGTTTTATCACTCTACCTCAATTAGAAGCAGAGTTATTAGTATAGGGAGATAGCTGGAGGTTAATCTCCAAATCGCGGACAAAATTACCACTATGCCGAATTTGAGTATATGATGTTGTCTGACATTATGTATCATTCAACCAAACTGCTTTGGTTTCTTTTGCAATTTGTTTTGGTTGAAACAAACGTTATCCCTCTCAGCTTATTAGATGTATATAGATATTATGGTGTAAACAGCACTGTGTTATAGTATGTTTACCAGACCAAGAGTATCCACTAATGAGTTAAGTCGATACAGAACTTTTAAGACCCCTGTCACACCCTTGCGATTTCTGTCCACTACGGTTTATTACCACAGCTGTCCCACATACTCTGTACGAATGCTCTACGGGTCCCTACGTACTGTATACGACTGATATGGACGTGCTACAATAAATCAGCGGCAATTACTACAAATTGGGTTACATTTCTCAAGATCAATCTGGTTACAACAACAACTACTGCTGCAAATAATACTAAGTGGTTGTTCTGCTATTACTACTGCTACTACTACTACTGATGCTACCAAATCTCCCGTAATTCTACGAAATATAGACCAATCCTGGTTAACTCTCACATTCTCTAACCCATCATAATTTTATCAAAAAATACAGTCGTACGTAAAACGTGACCAATCTTATGTAATCATTGGTATTCTTGGCTTTCCTTACAGTAATCTTATGTAATCCTTGGTTATTCTTGACTTTCCTTACAGTAATCTTACTTTACAGTGGAACAATCGCCAGTAACTGTAAAGCATTCTTAACAATAGTTCCATAGAAGTATCAACGATTCGTGATGATTCGGCTATAGCTATTCGGTATTTGTACGAAATATTATGTAATCGAATCCTCACCCAAATACATCACGATCATTATTTACACCATTTTAGAAATATAATTAGCGAGAACCATTTTGGATTTTGTCTTTGGGATTTCTTCACCCTCCGTAGTATTTGTAAACTACTGAGTTTTTAGCTTTCAAAACGGTTGATAGCCGACGTATTATTTAAAAACAATTATGGGCGATTTGGTTTCTTGTCGAGAAAGTAAACCCGTTTATACATATTAGTTGATTTGAAAATCATTTTTACTGCTTAGGTAAGAAAATACATAATAAATAAATTTCATACTTGAAGTAAGATAATCGGGACATAATAAAGCAGAATTAGTTATATATTAACATATTTGAAAGTATTAATCTATAAAGGAAATACGTATTTGTATAATGCGTTCATTGATTCATTTAATACAAGCTGTTACATTCATACTATTTTCGGACTGCAATATTAGATGCGTATAATCCAACAACAATAAATGAATTTTAATCTGGATTGATCTGGATTCATTTTAAAAAATTCAATCTTATTAGATTTGGTAGTTTGAATCCTGAGAATCGCTACAACATCGATATTTCAAAAAACACTTAATTGCCACATCGTCCCGGAGTTACCCAGATCCCACGTCTTTATGAAAACCTTGCAAATTTAATGTTTTTTTCTTTGAAATTTTGTGTTAAGTATTAGGACTGTGCGAGGTAAAACCCTATTGGATTTGACATGTGGCGTGAAGCATTGGGATCGGAGAGGTAGAACCCTGTTGATTTTAAGCATTCTAGGACATTTTGTTCCAGAGACATATTACGTGTCGGGAAGATCATGTGAACACAAAAAATATCAAA